GGAAAGCTGCTTATCATCCCCTGAAACAAAATATTGGAGTTTTCCAGAATAATCTGTTCCTATATCAATAAAGTTTGCACATCCCTTGTTCTGAATAATTTGGAAAGGTGTTAAATTTAAACATGTTAAATTTTCATTTGAGAAACATCTGAAATTTCTTTGAGGTTTGACCTCTGAAAAACTAGCAAAGTGTTCTGTCAAGCATTAGCATAGGATCTTTTAGAAGAACTCAAACTCTTCCTTAATCAAACTCAGTCTTACTGGTCTTCCAAATAATTGCTTTAATTTATAACAAAAGGAATAATACTTTTTCCAAGCAGCTGATTTTTCAGTCATTGCAATTCATGTATACCTAGCAAATAGTGCACCTGTGGATATAATCCAATGCTGGAAAGCCCATCTTAAGCTGAAGCATAATATATTGAAAGTTACATACTTGTTGACTTTGATTTATTAAAGATAAATATATTTAAATATTATTAACAAACTTTCTATAATGCTGCAGTTTTTCCTTGACAGTTTATAATTGTAACAATGTCATTTTTTGTTGTTACATTTCATGTTCTTTGTCTAATCTAAACTCACCTTCACTAAAAAGGTTTTTGGTTGTACCACTTAGAATAAAGACCAAAAGATGCTGTTTGCTTTTGAAACTGAATATATGAAAACTATATTATAACTTACATGGATACTTCCTCCTTATTAGAGGAAGACTAAGATGTACAAAAAGGCTGTTACAGTGTACCACTTTCACAAGGACATTTTATTGGTCAGTTTTTCAATAAAATCCTCAATTTTCAGTGCATTGGTGTTGATTTCAGTCTTTTAACTGAAGCTAGTGAGTTAGGCCACGTAAAGATGAATAAGTATACTGCTTGCTTAGATACCATGCTCATAGTGTAAGATGATAGCATTCATGAGCCACATCTCGCTTCAACTGTAGAATGGATGCTGTACTCCCAAATAACTCTCTATTCTTCCTAGTGTTACTTGAGTGTTTTGTTAATCTAAAATTTGTTTTAAATTGTTGTTGATCAGTCGTTAAGTCATATCCGACTCTTCGTGACCTCATGAACCATATCGTGCCAGGCCTTCCTGTCCTTCACTGCCTCCCTGAGTTTGCT